TTTTGCTGTCCTTGTGCAACAGTTGAACTCTGCTTCTTTTTGGAGAATGGAAGAAAATGATATAGCTCTTCCTCCTACCTGCAACAGTCACTTATGCCTTAAGCAAACACATTACATAAAAACCTAGAAACAAGTAAACACAGCCCCAACAAAACAGTTTAAGCACTTAAATAAAACGTACTGATAAAACGCTCAGTATACTCATAGTATTTTATTAACTTGTTAACTTATTAATATTTCAGTAATTACTTATTAAATTATTTAGTATTTCACTTCAAAAAGTACCTAATATGTATCCTTAAAGGGATAAGAATCCTGTCATCATTTACTCACCTTCATGTCATTCCAAACATGCATGACTTTCACAAAAGAAAATATTTTGAAAAATATATATATATTTTTTGTCCATTGAAAGTCAGTGAGATGCAATGTTTTTTGGACCCCAACATTCGTGTATTTTTCTTTTTTTTCTTTTGCAGACAAAAGAAGGCATTACAAGATTGGGACATGGTTGTGTGAATTATCTCTTTAAAGGTAACTAATATGCATCATTTAATGGTGGATGGTACAAAGGGTGTACCTTTAAGATGACCTTTTTCACAGCGATTTAATAAGGTCATTATTGATCATATTGTAATGTTGTGTGGTGATCTGTGATTTGTTGCACAAATAAGCAACCAAATAAGCAAACCTGACTGAACAAAATACACTGCAGTGTTTGTTTTAAAAGGGATGCTGATGTAATGTTTTAATTTCCAGCCAAATTTAGAGACTATGAGCTGCAGAGGGACTGATTCCCAAAAGATGTTTAAATTAATCCATCCTAAATGAAAATATATTCAAATGCAGTTTGTGGTTTTAGAAAGTAGCTAATAGCAAAACACTATAGAATAGGGATTTCTGTCATTTGTTGTGTTAAAACTATATGGCTGTTCTCTTTCTTTTCCTCATTATGTTGAAGAGGATATAGGAGGTGAGTGGGTGAAGCTACAGCAGCACTCGACTGTTAATGTTCTCTTTGCGGTGCTGTTTGATGTCATTGTGGTGAATTCTTTCTCCCTGTGGATTACTGATGCCGTGAAACACACATGATCTTAATAACAGACTAATCATCCAAGTCGCTTAGCACATCATGTTTTTATCTGCTTTAATTGTTGCCTGTACCTGCTCAGCTAATGGAAACAGATTGGCCGCTCTGTGGGAAGGGCTGCTGGGAATTTAGTGAAGCTGTGCTGTGAAAGATGTACTTTTGTTCTGTGAATGTAACAGAATTCCCTCTTTACTCTTAGCAAAGCGTCTCTGCCTTTGAGAGGAACACACACACACACACACACTCATCCTTTGAGGTTTGAATCAAAAGAGAAAATATACTATTATAATTGTGTCCTATAAATGTGACATAGCCATGTGAAGCCACTATAGGAAGCAATGTCTAACAAATCTGTGAGCAGGGCCTATAGCAGATAAGCTTTTGGTAAGGACTCGCCAATTTGACCTGTAGGTCAAAGTCTGCTCATGCACCTTAAATTAAATATGATTAGTGTTCTGAAAAACTTTCTCTCTCTTTCTTTCACTTTTCTTTTTCTCTTTATCTGCTTGAATATTATGCACTATTAAAATCATTTATTCCCATCACGCCTGGCTCCAGAAGGATCTCAAGGCCTTTGCACAATGATGATGAAAGTCTAAACACAGGCACAAGTCAACTATTAATTTACTGTCTGTCTCTCCTTCTGGCACATCACATGACCTAATTGCATCACTTCCTGTATCAATCAGAGCTAAAGCAACTGGCTGGCCTACTGCCAGTGTGCGTTCATATTAGGTTGGACATATGCATGCTAAATGTTTGTGATGAGAGAGAGAAAAATTTTTTTTTTCTGCAAATCCAATTTCCAAATTCCAGTTTTCTAAAAAATATCTCACTATTTAATAGAATAGAATATTGATTAACAAATTCAAATTAACCTGAGTGCCTCAAAATAGTAGCCTATATTGAACCTCATTTACAGTTTGTATATCAATGCATTATATAAATATATAATACATTATATATAAATATCTCATGCATTAAACATCAATGTATTTTTAAAGGGATAGATTTATTTAATGTAATTTGTGTGTACTTATATAGAAAGAAGAAAGAAATTCGCAAGTTTGAAATAACGGGGGGGGGGGGGGGAGAAAGTTCCCTTCAGATGTCCAAATACCTTTCTTTGTTTTTGTTGTTGGCTGTGGATTGTGACAGGCATTTACCTGGCCTCGTGAAATTGCTACAATCTAAAAGTAAATAAATAAATAATTCGTGAGGCTCATCATTATAACAAAGTTAAAGAGCTGGCTCTCCTAAATTATAGGCGACATTTAGATGTCTTATTACATAAACGGCACATGCAAATGACAAATCGTAATTTGGGAGCAGCAAAATGAATAAGACAAGGCGAACTGATTGCCTACATATTTGTAAACTTAGTTACACCACGCGCTTTCTTTATTCCACATTTTACGCTTGTGTACTTTAATTAACAGCGCTGCTCATCGGCGGCAGAGCGCGTGCTGACTGAAAGAACGTTCCGCCTTCATCTGATTTAGACGATTTCGTTCCGGGTTGTCAGTGGCTGTCAGGTTTCTGCTCTGTGCTGCCATTGAAATGATTTTCTGTGCGCGATCTCTCTGTTTTGACTGGCATCAATCTCATTTTTGTCTGCTGTGAGACAGCTGCCAGATTAATCCGCGAGTCTGTGTGCAAACCATCAGAATCTGCCGAGAGGGGCTGATGAGGGCGAGAAAGGGCCATGTCTTGTTGGTGAATTGTCATTCATAAACCTTATACAAGCTCCCAAATACTCTTATGCTTTAAAACTTTTTGCCTTTTGGCTATACACGCACTATCAGAGAACACACAGCAGCCTCCTGCGGGTCCAAACGCGTGCGGTTGTCATGCATTGCTCTGGTGCCAGTTCACGCACTAGCGACAGACAGCAACCATTCAGCTGTTTTAAAAATCTCTGGAGGAGGATGGTTCTGAGAGAAGAAAACACCCCATCCCATTCCCATCTATACTTTACTGTGAACTTCATTATACGCTTTATTCTGGTTTATTTATTTTTATTGATTTGGAACTTTGCTGTTGTTTTGGAGAAACATGACACTGTAAAAAGCACAAGGCTTGTTTTTATTTCCAACTTATAAAGTGATATTTTTGGAATAGAACTGAAAGCTCGGGCTGCAGGGCGCTGTCCAAGAGCGATGGTGCTGAACTTGCCTGGCATATGTTGAGAGCCACACTCATCATAAGCAATTACACCGATGTACAGACACAAAACACATAGGCGGAGCATCTGTACGGCTGGGGAAAGCCTAGCCTTCCCCTGACCACGTGCATAATTTGTGTATATGGCCACAGATGCTGTGGGATTCCAACTGCTGCTCTGGGATAACGGGTCTAGGATCAGGTTCCCCTCCTCAAACCCACACCTTAATTACTAGTGAGAAGGGGAAAACGACGACAGATCAGTGGCTACCTACAACTTTATTTTATGTACTTTGTCTTGTGCGTGCGTAGCCTACTACACGTGTTTACAACATATGGTAAAATCAAAGCTCATCCAAGTATGTTAAATGCTTCTTTTTAAATTAGCACTACTTGGTTTTAAACAAGTAAGAATTTATTTCTCCATTTTAATGGGCTGAAAGTTTTAAAAGGGTCATATGATGCTGCTAAAAAGAACATTATTTTGTGTATTTGGTGTAATGAAATGTGTTTATGCGGTTTAAGGTTCGCATCGCGCCGCGTAAACATAAAACCATGTCTGCATTTGTGATCGGAGAAATGACAAACAACAAGCCCTACTCTACGCTGCCCAAAAAATTAGCTTTAAATATATAAAATATAAAAACTCTTTAAATATAAATAACTTACTTACAGTCTTTGAGTCAGAACAGCCGGCATTGTAGTCTACT